AAGACGGCTCTCTCTCTCTCTCTCTCTCTCTGTCTGTCTGTCTCTCACCTGTAGCTGAGATGTGGTATTGGCTGGAAATCTCTTGAACTCAATGTTAGACAATTCGATGTCGATATGAGCGCTGCAATTGTCAACAAAAAGCAACGCTTTTTGGTTACGTTTTTTCAATTTGTCATTGAATTTTCGCACAATTTTACAATAGATTTCAGTATTAATCCATGAATTTTTCTGTGAATAATAATTCAGCGGCAAATCCTTTCCTTTGAAAGCTCTTGGTTTAGCACTCTTTCCAATGATAACACACATCCTATCACTTCCATCAGCATTAGTGATGACCACAAGTGTTATGCGTTCCTTAAACTTTTTGAGCCCATGTCTAGACTCGTTGTTAAACCCATAAGTTTTTGACGGCAATAGTCTGAAGAACAGAGAGGTTTCGTCCAGATTATAGACATCACATGGTTTTCGGTCTTTTATCACTTCTGGTAACTCTTGTGTCCAATCGTTCACAACATTGGGATTCACTGAATCAGACTCTCCGTGTTGTGTGAAAAAAATAATACCATTTCTTCGCTTAAATTTATCCAAATAACCATTACTTGGCTTGAAATCGATATCCAATTTGGTTGCAAATTTAGCCGCCTTATCGAGTATCACATCTCCGGTAACATTGATTTTCTTACCCCTTATTTGTTTCAACCATTCAATTAAGGCCTTCTCAAGAATCGGGTGTTTCGGTTGTTTTACGGCAAATGTTTTTTCACTACATTTTTTAGTCATTGACTCAAATTGTTTGGCAATTTTCGGTTCATTATTCAATAAATTACTTAAATGTGAATAACTTTTAAGTTTGTATTCACGTAATAACTCTTTTCTATCGACATTACTCTTTAATTTCTTAATTATCTCATATTTAGTCTGAATCGACAATTTGTTACGTTTTTCAGACATTTTTAGACACAAAAAATACACAAATGATTGTTTAAGTCATATATTAGAGTGAATTACAGTTCATTACTTTGTAATGCTTAACATGTGATCACTGATCATAACGTTTGATTGGTTTGCGGAATAGGTTCACAGGATAGAGAGTGTTATACATAGAAAAGTCATAAATATTGGGCAAAAATATGTTCATATGATCGATTATTTACAGCATCGATGGTTCATAAGATCGAGAGTATTTTAGCCTTAAGTCTATGGGCTGTGTATTTTGGTTTTAGAGATTGGTTCATAACATCGCTTAGTTCACAGCATCGCTGGTTCACAGGAAAGAAGTCTGACTGTAAAACAATATTTTAAATGGTCCGCAAAATATAAGTTTACAAAATTAACTATTGATAAGCTAATTATAAGCTAATTATAATAAATTAATATTAATGAATTTATAATTTATTATTGCCAAACATCCCGTTATTTACTCCTACATTGGGTAAAGTTGCTAAAAGTTAGAGTAAATGTAGTGAACCGGTATATCATATAGAAATTAATGTTAATTATGTAAAATAAATAATATATGAAATTCTAGTTAAATTATCTCAAATGTACACAGATATGCGGGAAATATAAACAATTACCTTGTTCTTACGAATTAGGAATTCTTGCTCGTTAGGAATTATAGATTTTATGCTCATGTCGGTTTTATAAACAATTTTCAATTGTCTAATTTACTTCCTAATTAAATCAATTTTATAAACACCCAATTTATGAATATGCCATGAACATTTTATCGAATGAATACTTTTAAGTATTTAATTTTACACAATTAAAAAATATGGTACAATAATTAAGAGTGTTAAAACACAAACTTTAAAATCATTTTGTATTTCATAAATTGAATTGTAAGTAGTCCAGTAATCTATTACAAATTATGATAATAAAACACATGTGACTTTAGTTTTGATGATAACATTTATCAGCAAATATTAGTTTTAATCAAACAAAAAGATAGTTGTATTAATTGTAAGATAATTGTAAAAGTACTTAATTCATTGTATTTTATTCACCTTCACATAATTAGTCTAACCATTTCATGTTGATAAAATATTCATAATTAACATACAAAATAAATATAAATGAATACACTACTAGGGTTGAATAATACGAATTAACAATTTAGTAAAAATAAATATTATCAGAAGAAACCAATAATGACAATACAATTACAAGCGGCGATACAAACGTATTGATAAAACTCGTAACTATTCATCGCAAACAAATCATTACAATAGTAGCCGATGTCGGGTCCGGTGGGGGACAAGTGATTGGCCAATCACCACACCTTAATCATGGTCAATTATACCTACAATGGTGGCAATTTATATAGATTTTATCAATTGAAAATTATCATGTTGAGTTTTTTAAACTTTCAAATTGCTGTGCCCTTACTTCTAACAAGTAAGTTATGAATAAGCCTTATATCATATTAAATATATAATTAATACTGTCTTGGATTGATTGAAATCACCAAATATTGGTCTCAACACTACAAAGAAGATAATACGCAAGACATAAGCCAATGAATGGTAAACCAGAGGAATATAAAAACTTAATTGATTTGCAAAAAAAAGTTACAAAAAACATTTTATATGAATAGAAACTCACGCATTGAACACACGTGCGAATCACGTGACCCACCGGTCGTATGCCCTGTCAATAGGCTGTCATACGAGCGCTTTGAGAGGGAAAACACAGACAACACATGTGTCCAAACATGGGATCAATTGGCGGTGACTTTCGGGCCCTTTCGCGAAGACAGTTGTACTCAATGATCAATGAGTTGCGACGGGAGAACAGCCGGGTGAAGACGGACTTAGCCAGGTCCAATTTGTTGACACATAAGTGCCTGAAATACGTGAATTGTTTGCAAACAAATCCCAAATTCATTGATTACGAGTTACGCAAAGAGATTAACACATTGAACGTGATTAACCGTAAATCATGTGTTGTCACTCTCCATGCCATCGACCATGGTGATCATCTTGGTGATGATCTTGATCATTTTGATGGTAATTACATCGTTTGTTCACTTTTAATGTCATTTTAATTTTAAAAAAATTTAATTAGCGGTGAAATTAATTGGCAATCAAACGACCGGCGAATTGAATGGTATTTCTTATTACAAAATTAATTAATTTTAGTTTAACTTATGATTAAATTATAATTTTTTATTTAATTAGTAATGAAATCAGTTGGCAATCAAGCGATCAGCGAATCCAATGTCAAAAAGTTATCACACGAAGAACTCGAAGACAATACAAGCGATGAATCGCGAGAAAACACCAGTGATTTGACAGAAAACTACGGATCATATGTCGCCCAAGAAGTCACTCCCAAACGGATCCGCGCTAAGCGAGTGTTGGACAGCGACGGGACACCGGTTGCCATCTTTGGCGGCCAATCGACTCCCAAACGACAACAAACACACTATTTGTCAGACATCACCAACGATTGCGGGCCCACACCTGACCCGCGA